GCCCGTCCAGTGAGAGAATATCTGAATGAAGAGTACGCAGGTCGATGGATAGGGCGCCTTGGTCCAATTTTGTGGCCACCCCGTTCTCCAGACTTGAACCCCCTAGACTTTTTTTTACTGGGGCTGTCTGAAAGAAAAAGTTTATGGAAATCATCGGATTCGGATCAAACGTTGCCGAATTACGACGAAGAATCACGGAAGTTGTACAATAGATAAATTTACGACGATATGCACGATTGGTGAAAAGGTCATTTTTAAGGCGTTGCCGTGCAAGTATTGATGCCGGTGGAAAACAGTTAGAGCACTCGCTGTAGTCTGTAATAAAATTATAATAATTTATTCAATACTTTTATTTAAATTCCTATAGATATAGGAATCGAGAAATGTGGAAATTTGAGACTGTTTGCCTCACTCAATCATACTTACTCAATCATAAATTTAAATGATCTCATCACCAACCTTAACAAAGAACACTTCTATACAATAGGCTATGCTGATGACATAGCCATACTGATAACAGGCAATTATGCCAGTACACTCTGTGACATCACACAAGCTGCACTCCGGATTGTGGAAAGATGGTGTAGAGCACATGAACTAACAGTTAACCCAACAAAAACAGAACTAGTAATGTTTACAAACAAAAGATTACTGGGTAACTACCTACTACCCAAACTCTTTAGAACAGAAATACAATTATCAACCGATGTCAAGTACCTGGGAGTAATTCTGGACAACAAGTTGAACTGGAACAAACACCTGGACAACAAAATTAAAAAAGCTACTATCACCTTCTGGCAATGCCGTAGAATGGTAGGTAAACAATGGGGACTTTCACCCAAGATAACACTATGGCTTTACACAACGGTGATAAGACCTATGATTAGTTACGGCGCGATAGCCTGGTGGCCACGAACCAAGCTGACGACTGCAACTGACAAGTTGGACAAATTCCAAAGGCTAGCATGCATGGCGACGACCAGCTGCATGAGGACAACTCCAACTGCGGCGCTCGAATCGATGCTGGACCTGCGACCCCTCCCACTGTTTATCAGACAGGAAGCGGCGTCAACAGCAGTGCGACTAAAGAGAGCCGGCCTTTGGAAGCACATGAGGACCCCACATACAGAAATCCTTTACAAGATAGTCAAAGAGGAACCGCTACTGGAGGCGACTGTGGATAGGATCCCAAAACAATACATTTTTGACAAAAAATACAGGATACAATTGTTTGAAGATCCCAACGAAGGACTAAACCTCAGAGAGGTCCGCGTATTCACTGACGGATCAAAAACAAACTCAGGAACAGGTACAGGGGTGTTCTCAGAAGACATCAACATCAGAATATCAACACCGCTTGGTGACCACAACACAGTATTCCAGGCTGAATGTATGGGTATGAAGTTGGCAGCAGAAGCAATAATAGCGAGAAGAGTAAAGAATCACTCCATTCGAATACTCTCTGACAGCATGTCAGTACTTCAAGCGCTGAGCAGCTATGACATTAACTCAGGGCTTATATATGAATGCCATCAAGCACTCATAGAGGTATGTACACACAACCACGAAATTCTACAGTGGATTAAAGGACACAGCGGCTCACGTGGCAACGACGCAGCAGACGAACTAGCTAGAAAAGGGTCGGAGACGGATGCTGTAGGGCCAGAACCCATAGTGTCCCTCCCCAACCAATGGTCAAGAACAACTATACTCAAAGGTACAAAATCTTCTCATAATAACATATGGACAACCCTTACGGTTTGTAGACAGGCTAGGGAAGCACTCCCAACGCTCAACGCCAGTCTATCTCGTAAATTAATCAAACTTGAAAGACAAGAGCTGCGCACTCTATCTGCCGCTCTAACGGGTCATAAACACCTTTTCAATTTAGGTATCACGGACAGTCCTCTATGCAGAGCGTGCATGGAGGGGGAGGAAGCGGCCGCACACATCCTACTAGAGTGCTCCGGTGTGGCCAACTACAGGGCAAAGTACCTTGGAGTGCCGAGGTCACTCCCCGAAGTCTTCAGAAAACTGATGAGGCTGCTGAGATTCCTGGAGGAGCTTGGGTGGCACGAGTAGGACCCTGCACCCACCACACGCAAAATAGGCGCCTCGACGTCGAGTTGCGGAAACTAGCCCGTTGCACCAATACCAATAGTGCTTGGCGGCAGAAATAGGTAAGATGGCAGTACTACCCTGGACGAACTCTTTCACATGGAGTTCTATTGCTGTGTGTGTCACTGATCCCTCCTTATTGTTGTTGCAGTTGATCCCTCCTTATCTTGTTTAGAATCTAAAAATACCTCTTTGTCAATAACTAGGTCAAATGAAATTCAAATAAATATTGTTATGTATAGTGATGAAATGAGTAAAAATATAGGTTTGCAACTTAACCACATAGGAATAAACTTAACAAATATGCATGCCAGGTGCAACATACTGTAAAATATTAGACAGCATTTTGTCAACTAAATTTGACTAAGACACTATATTAATAATTTTAATTGGCAGAAGAAGAAAAATGTAACAAAAAAGATTTAATACAATATTTTTCACAATTGAATAATGTAGTGGCACCACTAACTTCCACGGGGGATCATTAATTTAAAATTACGAAAATGAATGCCCCAAAATTTGATCCCTAATTTAGTCCATATAGTCAACACCTTTTCAATTTAGGTAACTATCACAGACAGCCCCTATGCATGGAGAGGGAGAAAACGGTCATACACATCCTACTTCGATGCTTTGACGTGGCCAACTACAGAGCAAAGTATCATGAGCCTGGGTGGCACGAGTCTGCACTCACCATACACAAAAAAGCCGCCTTGACGTCGAGATGCATACAACAGCCCTTCACACCATACCATACCATTTTGCATATATGTATTCGAGTCCAATCATGAAAAGAACTTATTTAACATAATTATATTAATTACGAATTATATAAGTGAACACAAGTTAGTATTAGTAAACATACTACTGCACAAATACCATGTTTATTTAAAATGAAGTAAATGCACGCAGCATTTAAGCACTTACAAATATGAGCAGTATGCATAAATGGAAGTACCTGTATTGCGACACGTCCATCCTCGTTAGCGAGCGCGAGAATGTGTTCGAGACCGCTAGCCTCCGCGAACCGGCACGCAAAGATAGGTGGATCTTCAGTACCCGCCGCCGCTAGACCATAGAAAGACTCTTCCTCGCGTACCACCAACCTTTTCAGTACGTTGTCGTAGGTCAGACGACTGTCTGTAATATTAAGCAATTTCAGAGCATAGTGTTCTTGGGTTGATCTTTACATCGTAAGAAGTTAAGGGTTCCCAAAAAATTAATCTACTTACAAAGGCCGAGCTGTCTATCTATCAAGCATTGCACGTCGTTCATGGTTTCATACTATTTGCTTTCTTACAAATAAAAGCACTAATAAGTTAGCCACAATATATGAAAGATATGAAATTATTCACACAATATTCTCGGAGAAGGGCCTAGAATTCGCCTCAAAATAACAGATATCAAACAAGCCAAGGCGCGAACTGTGTCGGAGTTCAATGCGTTTAGTTTTTACTTCTCTGGGAAAAGTAAAAATTATTCAAATTGTAATGAAAATAACAAATAGGCATTTCTAATGTAAATATTTAGTTTATTATTAATATTAGTACTCATATTTTTTCACAATTTAATATATTTTTCTTATTCTTGAAGTAACTCATTGGCGTACATATAAGACGATCATTGGCATATCATGTATATTATCGGTGCTGCAACAAAACGTGTATTTTTTTTAAATATATTTTGACATCGCGCTTTTTAATATGAATAGAACAGTTTTAGTTGAAGGAATCGAAACAGCTTTATACAAATTTTAGTAATGTTAGTCTCATCTTCAATGTTACATCCCAATTTACCCAATTTAAAAAACGCAATCAATCCGGCCATCTTTCTTTACATTTCTGCACTTTGCTTGTGAATTTATTTTTGTTTCAAACAGAATGACATGAAAACTGTTATCATTAATGTAAATCCTTGATATTTTAATATACAAATTGTCAGCCAATATTCAATGGAACGTCTCTTCTGATAAGTTGGAATAATAATATACTTTAGCATTTCGCGAGTGAGAATACCGCGGTATCACTGTAAGCTGAATAGGTATTAAGGCCTTTTTTCAGGCGGAGGACTATTAGCACACACAATTATAAAAGGTAAGTTGAAAATCTGCATATTTTTAACGAGTTTTTACCGCCAATATATTGTAAAAGACCCTTTGTATCGTTGCAGGTGTATGGAATGTGAGCCTGTAGGGTATGGAGAGAGCGGCAGTGGTAGACGGATACCGGCGTGGCAGGGTGCGCGCCGAAACGGTTTGGAGCGAGTGCTCGAACTTGGTGTGGGTGTGCGGCTGGCTGACGCCGCTGACCTGTCTGTGGCAGTGGGGGCAGAGGGCGCGCGCATACCGTGTCTCGCCTCGCTCTCGTTTGTCGCCGCGGTGCCAGATGCTCCCTTTATGAATACTATGGACGAGATATCATATTGGGTGCATACCAAGCGAGCACCCTGCCTCATGTCTTATGACAACCTCCTTAAAAAGCAGGGTGCTGTAGGAGAGTGTAGCAAACCAAAAAGTGTTCCCAGTGTTATTGAGGATGTGCCTTCTTCTAAGAGAAAGAAACGAAAGCTGTCCCTGCTGGATGCAGAGTCTACTTCACTGGAAAAGCAGCAGAATTTGTATTTTGAAACCTCTCAAGATAATCCTCGGCTTCTTTATGGTAGTCAGTCTGAAACTGTCAAGTCAGATATTGACTTTAATATCAAAAGCTCTTTTGTGTGGGATAAACCAAAAAGAATACGATTACAAAAGAGCAGCAAAACTGTATTACACAAGAAAAATAAAGTAATTACATCAACGCCAAACCCAAAGTTAACTACTACTGTAAGAAGAAGCCTACGAAAGGTGCAAAATAATGACAGTAAAAATGGTCTACTGAATTCTTCAATTGAGGATGTCAATTTGAGTGTCGACAAATGTAATGCCAAATGCACACCATCAAAATCCTCTCAAAAGGCGAAGAGATGTTCTGCTAAAGCAAAGTTTATGAGTTTGGCTACAGAAAATGGTACTAAGACTAAAACTGAAGTGATTGTTAATGGTACGTTTGAAGACTTGAGTGATGTGTCTGGCTTCACTGCAAACTACATAAGATCTACAAAACTTCTCACTGTCAAAACACACAGGAATTTGAGAAGTAAAGGAAGAAGACCTGTGAAAGAGACGCAAACCAGCTTCAATAAAGATGAATCCAAAATGTTAATATGTGTCAATAAGTCCATCAATGCTGCATCGGAATTGCCCACACATTTAAACTGCAGCACAGAGCCCTCAAACAATGCTGTTAATTTAGTATCTTTGAAGAGTCATGACAAAAACTTAAGAGTCAACAAAAGTACTTCTATATTGAAATTCATGGATGTCAAATGTAACAATAAAGAGAGCAACAATCACAACAGGACAGAAAGTAGCAAGACAAAAAGCAAATCTGATTTGATAAACACATCTTTTCAATCAAGTACATCCAGATATCCTAGGAGACACACAGGGTACCATAGTATCACTGAGAGTACCCAAAACCCAAACTATGGCCTGATGGGCACAAAATCATCTGATAAAAAATGGAAAAGTGGAAAAAATGCATGCAAGTTTAATGACTCTGATCGTAAGGAAAATCCAGAGGAAACCTATGTATCTAAGACACGGAGTGGTAGAAACATACGTCTGGCTCTCAGACAGCATGAAAATTCTGTGTTTGTGTACAGCAATTCTACAGAGCAGGAGAGTTCAGTGCCTAATTTAAATGTCGCTTGCCAGTCAAATAGAAAGAAGCGGAAATCAATATTAAAATGTGCAGGACCTGCCAAAAAGTCTGCGGATACAAGTGTATCACGCGGCAAAGACTCAATGAGGGAAGCAAGTGGTTTTACTGCATGCTTTTCTGATAGTGAAGACAGTGAGCCTTTGAAGCCAAGAAAATATTTTTGTTGATGTATCTTATATTTAAACAAAATATACTCATTTGTACAGACAATTCACAATAAACAATAAAATTTTGTTTGTGGTCCAGTAAAGGACACCTGATGGCATTGATAATAATCACTATGTATATGTAGATGGGCTGTCAGAAGATTATTGTGGTGTTTGTGCAGAAATGTATAGACAAACGCCTTTATAGTGGCTGCTTTGTAGGATGCATATTTGGAAAGCTAAAAAGGACTGGCTTTGCGCGGCGAGCTGCGGCCGTCGATCTGTTTTTGTGCCCAGATGTTGCACAATGATGATACATTAACAGTAGTAATATACATATCTAGGTGTAATATTACAAATCGCCATGCTATTGCAATCACCTGTATATTAGAACCCATCGAAAACCTAATCTGTTATTCCAATATATGTCTGAGAGTAGTGAAACAAATACAGTTTGAAAATGTACTGTTTGCTGTGCCATTTTGTGATAAAAATATCAATAATTTATAACTGTGAATTGCAGTTAGTGACAGCTGCAACTTATTGGTAATGTTTGCTGTCCTGTTGACAAGTTCACGATAAATATATTGCTTATTTTAATTGAATTGCTGATTATAATTGCATATTAGAATTGTGCTCATCTTTGATGTTAATTTATTATGTAATAAATTTGCTGTATAATATATTTTAGACATAATATTTAAAATTAAACAAGTTAGTGATATTAATGTATCCTTTGTGGGTTTTTTTACGAAGTATAATAATTATTCAGCATTTTTGGTTTCAGTGCTCCATTCCCATACAGTAGATACTTTTAAGATGTCTCAAGATGTGGACTAGTGGGTAAAGAAGCATAAGAGTTGGATTATTCTATGGAGGTACCCCACAACAAATACGTGTAACCAATGACAACCAACAATATCTATATTATAATAGATATTGCGGGCCGGACTGGCCGTATTGCACTAATGGCACGCTATTGGCGTGTTTACAATATGGGCTGACTGCTGCCTTTGGCAGACTATTTCGTGTTGTCGAAGGACGCGCAGTCGACTCGCTACAAATTTACTCGTTTTGTTTGATCACACGTGTCAGTTAAAAATCGAGCAAAACTATGGGTCTCATAAGCCTATGAGAATGGCTTTCGATGGTAAAATAGTGGTGATGAGTCTACGCACGTATGGTGGACACGTAAAGAACTTGTTGCCCTTTATCGCCGACCTCTCCATCAACGCAATCCGTGAAGAGACTGAGACTGCTGGTGCAATTACAGGCACGTCGGACTTGTCAACTTATGTCTCAGGGTGACGAGCGCTGTGGGAGTACCCTTCAGGTCTTTGCGATTTAAAGCTTTGAGTGGCACTGCAACTGTTTTGGACAGGCGTGTAACTTACCATCAGGTGCACGACTTCGTCCCGTCACTTGATATTACAAAAAACCTCCAAGGAAACGAGCACTCCGGACAGTGAGCATTCTATACATTAGAGCGTCCTTTATGCTCTCTTATATTGCGTGAGTCCTATAGGCTCAACTTATATTGCGACGGAACGGAATCTTCGCGGAATTCTCGCGAATGCGCCAGCATTCTCTGGTATTCGCGAGAATTCTTCGGAAGAGTTTGGCTCGTATCTAGTGTGTACGTTACACAATTGACAATAAAGTGCATTATGCTATGTACAATGTCGTTACAAAAATTTTCTTCCATTCCGTTCCGCCGCAATATAAATTAAAATACAAACGCACACACTCAACATTGCCCCGCACTAGGGAAACCCTGTGTCGCGGGTGCCATGGACACACACATAGACAACCACAAATTATACCCAAATTCACGAGAGAAGAGAGTAGGCCATACAACTATTTCTCCCGCCCGGGAATCGAACCTGGGACCTCTGCGTGGCAGTCCGGCTTGGTAACCGTTAGCTGACCTGTACGAGAGTTTAACTGGTACGAGACGAAGAGTGTTCCACCGTGTAGGTGCTGGTTAACATTGAGTACGTGGGGCTACCATTCGTCCATCGAGCGCTGCCACGCGACATCGACGATGTTCAAAAAGGATGTGCGCGGCGTAACAGCCTCACGAAGGTGGTGATACCTGGCCGCTTTTATGATCATTGTTGGTTAGATGCCGTCTGAGGCACGACTACGATTGGTTTATGTCAGATTCGTACAGATAAGGATGTAGTTTTTTTAACGTTAATTCAATTTAAATATCATGGGGGTGCTGAACTATTGAAATTGTAGCTAATAAGCCGTTAATAAGCATTATTGTTGTCAATTCAAAGTGCATATCATCGGTTGAACAGTATGATTAAACTAATGGCGCTTGAGTTGGCGTCAGAGGGTGCTGTGACCGGTACCTACTGTTAGTGTCAGTACTTGTATTTATTGCCCACTTAACACTAAGTGGACATTGCGATTGGTGGCACAACTGGCGGTGGCGCGAACGAGTTGATCACTGTCGTCAGCGTATGCTTCGTCGCAAGTTGGAGTCTTACACGGTCAGGCTATATATTACTTATCCACTGAACACGCAAAAAGAAATTACACGTTTCCCGACATTTTGTAACTTTCATCTACTCAACGATAGATGGCTCTGGTAGGAACACTCGATAAGCAAAATGTTTAAGTTACTTACGCTGCTCAATGCGAGATGTCGCTACGGGTCGTATACCATGAAGCCAAAAGCTAGTTTTCCGGAAATAGTGTAAAATACAAAGAGTAGAGAACATTATGTAAAATATTCTTAAGCTTATGTAAAACGCGTACTTAATATGTAGCCGCATTTTTTTAGGATTTTATGTTATGTGAAATATATAATAATACATACAAATAGGATAAGTTGTTTGAATTTGTTTATTTTTAATTTAGAACTACCAAAACAGACATGAAGACTAAACATACCAAAACTTGGCTGTACCAGAAGTCATTAAAATCATGAAGTGCCAAATGTTTAACTGTCAAGACGGCTTTTTTAACTGCCCAGGGCGGTGGAACTTCATTCAGTGACTAACTACGAAAATCTCAAAAATCTCAGTTTGACAAATGCGCGTTTCCCAGATCGCAAGACAGACACGTAATTAATTCTTATTAAGAAAGCGTATTCTTTATACTTATGTAACAATATTAAAGGAATTGTAAGGATCTTTCACAAAGGCCGTTACAATAAATTTATAAAGAATTGTTATCAAGGCAATGAGATTATCTCGCCCACATTTTTCAGCCACACATTTAATGCAAAGTGCCACGTACGGCGATACAACGTGGGAATCAACGAATCAACCCCGTTGTCAAGTGTCTGGAGTAAATGTCGAGTCACTCGCTTGGATTGGTTCCCTGAAAGCAATTTGTGAATTGAATTAAAAATAATTCGTTGCAAGTGGATCATGGATTTCGAAAACATTTATTTTTGGTTAAATGTGAAAGGGTTGTAACCCTAACAAGCCGTGGCCAGGTTCACGGCAGTAAAACAAAACTTCCGGTCCACAAATTTATTAAAAGTCGGGTTAAAAAGAAATGGTAACAAAGAAGTAAGGAGTGAGGGTGTAACAATAAAAAGGTATATATAGAAAAACAGGTACATTAATATAAAACACTTCCTAACTTGATGCATATAAAGAGTTATTAAGTAAACGCTTACCCCTAAAAGGGCCGAGTTATCCTGAATTACAGATACGTATTCATAGGTACATGATAATGCTGTAGACTGTTATATAGTTATTAAAATTGACACATGGTTTAGATTATATTATAATGATTATAACTTAGTAAAAGAATCGAAATTAGACGCGATTGAACTTAAACATATACGAATTTAAACAGCTCCGACAGCTGGAACGAAACAAAATCAGAATGTGAGGCAAAAGAATGGAACAATTCAAAATTTAAATTTAAATACGAATGGCCAGGAATCGGAGAAAAGCGGTACAAAGGTGGGATGACGATGTAATGAGGTCACACCGTCACAAACGTACGGAAAAAAATCAGGAATAGGCTCTCTGTAGAATGATATTTTCATTGTGTGCAAGAAATACTTTTTGTTTTGGAAATTTACATCGTTATTATTATACAGTTCGATAATAACTACCAACACTACAATCGATAACATTGCGTTGCAGTTATCAACGCCCTAAATGTGTGGAACGAGTGGAATGACACTTTCCAAATATTTATTTGATATTACTAACAAAAATAAACTTAAGAAGAGAAATAAAAATATAAACAACCTGATATTCGTCTATCTTTTGTGAAAATGCTCCATTATTATCGTTTGTTCTGTACTGACTCTGCATACTCAAAGTGCCCTAAGCCGCTGGTTTTCAGGCAGGACCAACGAGAGGTTATTTGAAAGCAAAAATATAACGACTATGCGTAAATTTATACATTGAGATAATTATATACATAGTAAAGTGTAAATAGTGCATTTAAAATAACCTATTTGATATGTAAGTGCATGAGCGAGTGTGAATATAATTACAGGTGTAGGAGTAAATTGTGATTGTAAAGAAGTTTTAACATCGAAGCAATTTTCGTAGTGTTTGGTCTATGTTTGTACCAATAATAGTATAAGGAAAAATTAAAAAAAAAACTATAGGTATGTTCAATGTGTGTGGGTATGCCTGTATAATGACTCAATTATAAACACGTGTACGTATTGTAGAGACCACATAATCAGTCTTTACGTCTGTATGCGCCTATGGTAGTTGACCGTAGTAAATTTAATTTATAGATTCACATTGAAATAAGTTGAACATAGAGTCCAACTGATTTCTAGTGCCAAATTATGTGAGCGTTTATGAACGCCGTAACAACTTTATTTACGTTGTACACACACGCTTGGCCTTTAGTAGCGTTAAAGACTATAACGTAACTACCATACATTGAATACATAGCCATACATTGAAATGTAAGGCTTTATTGTCTTAGAAAGGGGAGATAGCGACTTGCCATAATGTGAAATACAATTTTGTTTTCTGTGTTTTGTCGCATCTCATCATCACCATCAACTTATGGTAATTTTACCGCTTCATCGTTACTTCTGCTCAAATTACGCTCTTTAGGCGAGTTAAAGGGAATCCGTTGCAATTAGTGTCACGAAATTTCGTGTAGTACGAGGTCCGCTGGTTCGTACCGTGGCTGAAGAATGTTTTCTAAGTGTTCGATATTTGTATAAATAATTATAAGAAATTTATTATTATTATTATTTATTTTGAAATTTATTTAATAAGCCGAATACATATTAACGCTTTCGTAAAAAGTTATACAATTAGATATATTCATTTGTAATGTATATCCCATTAAGGTACACAATATTCATAAATTATTTGTCAGATTAAATTAATAAAGAATTTGAATCTGGAAATGATTAGAATTAGATTCATACTAAAATTACTAATACACAATGTATTATTATTTTAATTAAGTAGTTTCTAGAGAAGGCAACAGTGGTCTAGATTTCGGATCGCAATGTTTTTAAATTCAGAATTAAATATTTCAGACCTTTTTTCATAAAATTCAGGATTCTGAGCAATTATAGGCCTAGTTAGACAAAGAATTATACGAGTACACTATGTGTGTAAAATATTATTAGATATTTATAGAGGGCCAAAAATAAACTGGTTCGTGTAATCGAGTCGCCTTGTACTTTCTGGCTTGAGTCGGCTGACACGCTACCGTGTGTCTAGAAACGT